TAGAAGGCTATTTCTGAAATCCAGTCTAGAGATTATGGTGGCTAATAATAAAAACCTGAGTTGTTTGGTGGAAGAGGTAAAACATTAGCCTCTGCAGATATTTTGACAGGGAAGAAATCAGGTATTCCTAATGGGTTGGATGTAACATTTGGGGGGGGGGGGAAGAGAGAGAGAGAAAAAAGTCAAGAATGACTCTAGGTTTGGGGCTGAGCGACTTGAAATAAGTTTCCATTTACTGAATTGGGGAAGACTTTTGAAGGGCAGGCATACCTTGGAGATACTGCAAATTTGGTTCCAGATCACCACAATAAAGTTAGTATCACAATGAAATGGGTCACACGAACTTTTTGGCTTCTCAATTCATATAAAAGTTACATTTACACTATATTGTAGTCTATTAAGTGTGTGATGTTGTTATTGTTAGGTGCCATTGAGTCATCTCCAACTCATAGTGACCCCATGCACAGCAGAAGGAAACACTGCCTGGTCCTGCACCAGCTCCACGATCCTGCTATAACTGACCCCATCGTAGCCACTGTGTCAATCAATCATGTTAAGGGCTTTCCCCTCTTTCGTTGACTGTCCACTTCACCAAGCATGATATCCTTCTCCGGGGAATGGTTCCTTCTTACAACACAACCAAAGTAGGTGAGATGAAGTCAAGTGTGCAACAGTATCATAAAAAAAGTTTGAGATTGTGAGAATAACCAAAATGTGACACAGAGACACAAAGTGAGCACAAGCTACTGAAAGATCTGATCCCATCATTGGAAAAACCCACATCACAATTGCTTAAACCACACAGAGTTGTGATCCAGCCAAGTTGACACATAGCTCCAACTATCACAACTGTCTTTTACTTTTACTCATTTTTTTCCATTTTTCTTCCACTTATTCTAATTTCCACTAATTCTCCCTCCAATTCTTCCCTGCAAATGACTGCTCTCATTCCCAGAAACTGTCCTGGGACTCCTCAGCACCACAGTGAATCTCCTGGCCCAACCCTTTCCTCAATCACAGCTCTGCCACAGGAGAATCATTGGATGTCTCAGGTCTCAGTTTAATCCTCTGTAACATGAAAGAATTAGACAAGATTATCTCTAAAGATAGACTCAAATTTAACTTTTGATAAAACTGACTCTGTGTTTAGCTGTTATTGTTGTTGGGTAGTACTGAGTCTGCTCCAACCACAGTGACCTTATAGAAAACAAAAAGAAATAATGAGCTATTTTTCATGTGGTTCTCTTATGTATTAGGAATTTTCATTTCCTTTCTAAGTCACGTTCAACTCTTTTCTTTCAGTACTCCCTTATAGTTCCCAAGATCCAAATCACATTTTCTTCATCATTATTTCTTTGGACAAGTCAAGTGGTTTTCACCCACACCTTAATGTTGGTAGAAAGACCATGTTCATTCTTTTAGATTTCCTCTAACACTGGCACACAAGGCAACAGAGGGACAATCTTTCAAGTCTAAAAGAAAGCACCACAATTTGGACTTACTTCTATAACGTGAGTGAGATCTTATGATGTTCTTTGAGAAATCTGTGACTGAAAGTGGCTAATGCCAATGACAAGCAGCTAATCGAACTATATCTGCTTTGATTTGCTCTGACACATTCATGTTTTTCATCCTCACTAGTCAAGGTGCCCTCACGTTTGACCTCCTTTTGTCATATTACTGCCAATTCTGATCAGCTCATGAGAGAGGAAGGGTGACAAGGAAAAAACAATTTAGCTCAGCAGCTGACTGCCCCTTTACAAAGAAGGAAACAGTTTGCTTTTCTAGATTCCAAGCTAAATTGATAACATTAAAAAAAAAAAAAAAAA